GATCAAAATGCACAATATCTTTTTGTGACACTGTCAAAGTGTTTCAAAATTAAATACACTAATATAGGAAAACAACTTAGTAATAATGATTTCAAACAGCACAGAGACTTCCAGAGAACTCCAAACTTATCAGCAAAATGTGAATTTTAGCTAGTTATGTGTGTTTTTACATGCATTTCCCACATAAGGCTGTGTTATGGCTGAAAGAATCACCAACAAGGAGTTTACCAGGATGCATCTACAGTAGCATACCCCCTCTCCCTTTAGTGTAAACAAAGTCTATCGGTTCCTTTTGGTGCTCTTAAGAAGCATCGTCTGCTTCCACTCACCGTGACAATCAATCTGACAACATATTGATGCCAAGTTTGCGTTCATCAACACAAAGGATAAAACGGCACATAAGGAACAGTTTAACTTAAGCCAGAAAGCAGTTAAGGTGAAATATTTGTGACTCCTCAGAGCTTAACAAAGAATTAAAAACTTTGTTTTTGTCTTCATTATTGTGTCGTTTCATTGTGGCCCATTTGTCTCTCCTTCCATCCCCATTTCCTCTTTCATTATCGCTCCTGACAACTGGATTATTGATGTTTATGTCAGGGATATCCTTCTGTTCATCCAGGAGTTTAGAGATTTAGTTTCTTGCTGAGAGGACCAGAAGTGGTCCTGCTGTGCTATCTCACAAGAATGGACAAACTCTTCGGGGTTGTTGTTGTCTAGTTTGAAATGGTCTGTCAAAGGTTTTAACAGTGTGGTAGCTGAAGTGCCGGAAAGGGATAGGGGAAGTTTGACATACAGTGTATAAAGAAATGCAAAAGAAGATGTGTTTTTTGATAAATCAGCCATTAGATTTAACGCTAAACGATGAATGGCCTGTATCTTTACAGCGCTTGACACGGGGCACTAATCCCTGTGACCATCACCAGAATCAGGGTTTTATTGCCATATGTGTGAGAAACCCCAACATTGGGAAATTGCTGTGGTACTTGGTTAAAAAATAAGAGATAAGCAAAAATACAAAATAAGCAAAATATAATAATAATGGAGGCAAAAATGAGAGAAATGGCTAATACAAATGATACAGTGTAGGCACTGATCAGAGCAGAACAGTTCATGTGCCAACACAACACAGGGTCGGGTGACTGGAACAAAGCTATGTGGGCAGTTCTACGTTTGTCCTTCATGAGTTTAGCTGCAGAAGGGATGAAACTTCTTATGGCGAGAGGTTCAGGTCCGATGAGAGCCAGTCAAAAAGGCGGTGTCAGAGTGGGACGGGTCAGCTGTGGCCCGACCTGCATGCCCCCATGTCCTGGAGGTGTACAGGTCCTTATCAGCAGAGCACACAACACTCTGCAGCTTCTTCTTATCCCATGAAGGAGGGAGAGGTGTCTTGCTCAAGAACAAATAGAAAGGACTGAGAGGGATGCAAACTTCTGGTTACAGGGCCGGCCCTTAACTCTTCTGCCAAAATAGTAATTATAGTAATTACTAAGTAAATAAAACATAAAAAAACATAAAAGAAATGCTAAAATGTGGTTCATTATAACTTTATTTAGATTTGCTTAAAATTTTCAACCTCAAGTTCTAACTTTCAGAATATTCAAACAATTATGAAATAATTGTCCTGAAAAAGTTTGTTTTGCATTGCTTGAACTGTTTAAAACAGTTTGGCAGCTCTAGTTGCCACATAATGCCACCTTCTAGGGTTACAAAAAAATCTAATGTATGTGTTTTAACTGGTTTATAATGCAGTTGCACACACTATCAAATTGTGCATTTAAAGTTAGAATTTTTAAATCATTGACTTTTTTTTCTGATTTAGCTTTCATGCAAAAAGATCTAAGTGGAAAAAATAAAAAGCAAAAATAAACAGTACTTTAATAAAAAAGCTAATGAAAATCAAGCACGCTTTAAATTTTGCTTCAAAACAACAACCTGTGACTGACATCCAACCTTCTCTGACTGGAACTCCTCTATGCCTCATGTGGAGGTCGGTGCTATGCTCTTTTTTTTGCTTCAATCAATGCTCTGTCAGTTTAACAAGAAAGAACTCCGAGATCTCCGAAGATTTTGAACCACTCTCAAATCAGAAATGCACTTTAGAGCTTTTCTCTCCTTCCAGGCTTATTTCTTTCCTATTTTTCCAGGACAGCTCTGAATACATGACATTTTGAAGCAACGTCCTGTTTCACAGCCACGAATGATCCACCCACAGCCATGTACTGGCCAGTAACCAGCTCTGCCAGGGCTACTGTTCAGACACCCATGTCTGAGTGGTTCCTCTGAAAGAAAGGAAGATAATTACTCATCCATTCTGCCTACCCACATGTTGCTGGCTGGACAACAAATTTGACAAATAACTTTGTAATTTCAAACTAGACCGCCTTTTCACCACTAAGCCTTGAGCTGTTTTAATAAATCACTTCTTTATATATTTTATGTAAAAAAGGGTAGAAATAAAACCTTTGTTCACTTATTTATTAGTCTTTTAAAATGACAGTGCATATTTTTTCTGGCGATAGGGGGCAGTAGATACCTAAATTGTTGCAAGCAAGCTGTATTTTTGTGCTGGAGTAAGACCCTTCCAATGGATGCCCATTAGGGTCAAAATAACTGGGGAGTGCAAAGTATAGCAAAATAACGAGCATGTCAGACTCCCTTTCATCACTGGCAACAAGTGAAGAGGTAAACGTGTAAAACAACATTTAAAAATGACGAATGTTTGTAACCATTTCTTACAAATCAGCAATTGTATTTTGTCTTCATGGGCTCCCGTAGAAGGACACATGGCATCTAATATGGCGTCGCCCAGAGACTTAGACCCACTCCCATGTATTTTAGACCAGATTTTTATGGTTGTATGTTACAAAGCCGCCAATACTTTTCAACAACTGGGCATCATTTAATTCATTTTCAACAATATTTCGATGGATATTTCCAAAAATTAATGGTAAAAACTACACAGCGTCTCTTCAACTGCAGTCACTATTCAAACGTTAACTCAAATACACTCGTTTTTGTTGTTGTTTTTCAAATACGAGAGCGGTCCTGTTTCAGGAAGTAGAAGTTAGCCGGAGGATAGGAGAGTAGAACACGGCAGGATTTGGAGTCTTCCTGATATTTGAACATCTTGAACTCTGAATGGCTGACAGCAACGTGTCTCAACCACTGACTCAGTTTGTTTTACAACACTGATGTTTTATCTCCAGAAATAACACAAGTCTGAAGGTGTTCTGCTGTGTTGTGAAACTGCTAATGCTAACGGTTTGCTTCAACTAGCCGGGACAAGCTGTGCTCTCTCCTGAATGCTAAATCAACAACAGCCTTCCCGTCACGAGACAGGATGAACGAGTACATGAATGCTAATGTTCAGATCTGCAAGCTTTTCTAATCCAAGCCGCCTAATTTTTATCAGCGGCTAATGCAGAAAAAGGGCTAGAAGAATTTTTTCACATTTAGCCTGCATTTGAAACTCATGAGAATGAGTTTTCAAAAACAACAAGTAAAAAATTGTTTATCAGTGAACTTGCTCCTTAAATTCTGATTTATAAATTTCTAGCAGAAGCTAATTTCCTTTCAAGATGGTGTGCAGATATTTGACCGCAAATGCAGAGCAGTAGGACGGACAAAGGAACCTCTCTCAACATTTATGTTGTTTTTTAAGGATCTTTCATTATTATTTCCCTATTTTCTATATCTATTAAATATCTAAGGCATTCATTTCAACTATTTTATTAATCTTTTTTCAAAGTTTGTAGCTTATTGGAAGAAAAATGCCCCTTTCAAGAATAAAGGCTGAAGAAAGCTCCGACTCTGTTCTCCTTGTGCACTGCTGCTTTTCCTTTTTCCTTCTTCTCTCTGATGAGAACAAAGCACAGTGCTGTTGGACAAGCTCGGCATCGGAGGACTTCAAAAGTTCATCTGTCTCTGCGCTGAGAACTGCAAAGCGGCTTAATCATTGAAAGTCAAACAGAGACAAGCCGAGTCATGAGCACTGGCGCACACTGGGAAAAGATTATACTGACGTTTGTGACGCGAAAAGAAATAAAACATAAAACACGAGATTTCTTATATAGTCGGGTACTTACAAGTGTAGCAGGTGGCTCCACTGTATCCCGTTCCATCACAGGTACAACTGAAGCTGTCCCACGTCTGTTTACACCGGCCTCCATGTTCACAATGATTGGGCATACACCTGGAGACATTTGGATAGGCTTAGAAACAAAAGAGCAAAAAGTTCCAAAAACACCAAACCCAGCAACTTTTTAGCTATCTACTTCAACAGAAAGAGTAACCAAGAATGTGTTTATGTTGCACATCAGTTGCTTCCACTGTCTGCTTAGTCTACGTGTCACATTTACAAAGGAAACAGTGCTAATCATATGCTGGTGGAAACCAGCAGGTCATTTCAGCACTGTGCACAAACTAAAGACGGACTTCTGTCGCAAATGCAGCCTCCAGGAGACAAAGAAACGGAAAAATATAATGGCCCTCTTCCTCAGGGAAGAATCATATTCAGGGAAGCACTTTTTAAGAAAAAGCAGACCCCCCAAAATAAATAAATAAATAAATAAATAAATAAATAAATAAATATCAACAAAGCAGGAAAAACCGGTTCTTTATTTTAATCCTGGACAACAGGGTGTACGGTGTGTGTGTATTTCTCTACATGCAGCAGTGTTGGTTACTTGGCATTGAAAGAGATGATGAATTGGACTTTTTCTACATGCCTGCTCTTTTAATGAAGGTTAACTAATGGTGCACATGACTTATTCCTTTCCTGCCCCACCATGATGCAAATACATCCAGCCCTCAGGAGACAGTAAATGTTTCATGCTAACTACAGGTTGCATACAGTGGCTTCTTTGAGAATAAAAGGCCTTTTGCTACAGCAGGAACTCCCATAAACATGGTGGGTTGACCGCTAAAAACATGCACAATACTCGTTTAAATGTAGGCAATCTAAGACCAGTCCAGAGATGCACCGTTTTGTTGGCGGTGCCGAGTGAGATTCAAGTTTATTTTTGTAGAAGTTTGTGCAAAAACTGCATTTTTAATAGACACAGGAATCCTTTGATGAATCAGGGTCTTAGTGTTATGTTAAACGTCTTATTTTACAGATGTTTTTCTGAATAGACTGAAGGACACCAGCAAAAGAGCATGGGGGTTGTGCATTTTCATTATAGTGTGTTAATATTTATCTGACCTTGTGGGCACCCAAAATACCTATTTGCACTTAGAGGATAATGCAATTTTAATAGAAGACCAGAAAATTAAGTCAATGATTTTATAAGTAATCGAATAAAAATTACATAAAAATATATATTTACTTATTGTGTTAAAAAAGGCGGCACAGTTGTTAGCACTGTTGCCTCACAGCACGAAGGTTGCAGGTTCGGAACTCGGCTGCGGTCTTTCTGCGTGGGGTTGCGTGTTCTCCCCATGCATGCGTGGGTTTCCTCCGGGGACTCCGGTTTCCCCCACAGATCGCAACATGCCCTATAGGTTATGAATTGTAAGTCGCTTTGGATAAAAGCGTCTGCCAAATAAATAAACATAAACATAAAAAAAGTTGCTTGCTTTTTGGATTTTGCTGCATACTGTAGCGTTAATGTTCATTAGCCTAGAATCTAGACCGTCAGTTGCCAAGGCAAAATGATGTAGCAATGAATGTCGGTCTAGTCATGCTCCACTGGAACCTTCGCAGTGCCAGCATTCCGGTTCTGGTCCAGTCACAGTGCTCCATCTAATTGGTGAGCGACATGTTGCATCTTCTTTGACAGTATATGTGAGTCTAAGTCACTTCCGCATCACAGGTCCCCGGACGGACGAAAAAATGAATGCAAGTCAACAGGGCTAAAAACGCTATTTTCTAATTCCGCTTGTTTCGTGTCATGGATTTCACATTTGATGTCCGTGAATTTCAAAGACACATTTTGATACAGAGAGCGCGCTTATTTTTGAACGGGGGTGGGGTGGGGGTGCGCACACACACGGTATTTTAGGTTTTGTGTGGAAAATGAGTCCAAGACTACAAATGCGCTTCACGAAAGTGACAACATCAAACCACACACGGAGAAAACTGAGGGAAAATGGCTGTAAGTTCAGCAAACTTCCCACAGGAGGAAAGAACCACTATAAATCTGGTCATTTGGTAAGTAGCAGCTACGCTAGGGGAGAGGCGATTATGTGGTGACGTCACATATGTGACGTGCCGATTTCTAGTTTGTAGTCATGCTAATTACGAACTTTTACAAGCTGATAACTCTCAAAGTACGTGACTGGCGTGGTGGAAACACCCATCATTACTTTTCATTTACGTTGCAGTACAACACGTGTGTGATCCAGGGCGTAAGGCAAAGCGCATTGACTTGCATTCATTTTTTCGTTCTTCCAGGGACACCATGATGCAGAAGTGACTTAGAAGTGACTCCTATGGCGGACTGCCTGTGGACTGACGTCCTTAGCGGTCCAATCACAGTGCTCTTTCGGTTTGGTGGGTGGGATGTTGCCGCCACTGAGTAAAACTAAGATGCCACTGAGTAAAACTAAGATGGCTACGGCTAGTCCGAAATGGATTTGGCATCAACTTTGGATTATTTAGACTTTGGCTTTTCTTTGAGTCGAGAGTAGATAGAAGTACTTAAGTCTTGTTTAGAAAAAGGATTTGAGTCTTTTTCAAAAGTGTATGGTGGAGCGCCCTGTTGAAGGACATCTGTGGCGGTAAGAACGTCACAGTGTTTGAAAGACGACCATAGATCCCGCCCCATGACCTAGAGCTGTAGATGGGTTGGGGCCAGACCATATATCCACATATATAGAATGGTTTCAAGGTTTCCAAATAAAATAAATCCTCAAAACGGTAATTAGCTGATGAAATACAGATGCATTCATTCATTAAGAAATCATACTTTGCTGTCACCAAAGTATGAAGCAAAATCAACCTGACCATAAACAGTTTTAATCATGTTTGTCAAGAAATAAGTATTGTTGCATGGATAAAACCAAGACACCATGGATGCGTTTCTCAAGTACGGGTGCAAATATCTCCATGCACTAGTTGTGTAATTAGATTAAATAGGTCTGCTTTTAAATGAGTCAAAGTAACAAGGGGAAAAGGGAAGATAGAAGGAAAACAAACACAGACTCCTAAAAGCTGCGGGGTTCCTTTGAAAATGTAAACTTCTGCATGCTTGTTGGGAATTGGTCAGTTAAATAGCACAGAGGCATTCAATCTGTAATGATCACTGTAGAAAAGTGTTCTTTAACTGAGAATCTGAAATACAAATCTTGGGGCTTTCCTCCCCCCACATGTACACAACGGATCCTGTAAGAGGCTATAAGCGGCAGTAAACAACCACAGCGTCCCTGCTTTACACAACACGCTGCAGCTTCACTGGGCAAAGACGTCGAGATAAAATGCGATTGTGCTCACACAATGGGTTGCAATTGACAAGCCCTGACAAGCTCAAAAGACATTATTCTTAGCCGGCTGGGGGCACTGAACCAAATCGACTGCTCAGGGCTTTGTGTGAGAAAGAAGAAAATCTATGGCAAGATTGCAGCACATGTAGAGTGTGTAAGGTTTTATGTGCCACTGCTTGTGTTGCTGTATCTCCGTTATAGAGATATTGTGGAAAATCGCACAGACATTGCTCTGTGTGCATGCATAAAGCGGCGTTTGAGATTCTGAGTATATATTTTTCCTCCCAACATCTGAGCCTAAACAGAATCCCAGAGCGGAACGGCATTGATCAAAAGGAGGTCAGACAGGGCTATTGAACCACCTTCAAAGACATTCTGATTAGGTAGATGGTAACACTGCATCCATTCATCTTCCATGGCGGAACAAGGCCCACCTGAAGTATTGCAGTGTTAGTACACAACATTTGATGAAACAGCAGGGCACAAAGCAGCAAGCTGGAGAGGAAACTGGACTTTTTGGGTTATTCACAAGTTTGACTGTAGTTAACCTGCAGTAAACAAGTCAGCAGCACTGAAATCTTCAAAACTAAAATCCATCTATACTGAAACATAGTTTTGCAAAAGTAAATAATGCAATAAAAACGATAACATGATGCTTAGAGCTCTAAATTCAAATGAGATTATCACTTTACTGCTCTTCTAGAAAATTAGCAACATGCTACAGGCTTGTTTTACTTTAATAGGTAGCAACTTTACCTCTGATCTAAAATGTAACACTTTCACAGGATTACATTTGGAAACAAAAAGTACAGAAATTTGTTAACCCTCCCACTAGAGCACCACCTCACCCCTGCCACGTGGACTTCAAGGGATAAACCATCAGTCCTGCTCGATGGTCAACTTTCCTCGCGGGGTCACCCATGAAGACAGTGGGAGGGTTAAACGTGTGGAACAGTTGTTTAATCAATGCATTTGTGGTGGTCTCAAGTAGGAACAAAATCCTCTTAAGTCGTAATCGGGGGTGGGAAAAACACTGGTGCACCATTTCCAGGAAGTAGCAGTGACCCACATCACAGCTGAGCTTCAAACAGCTGGTTTTGGACTCTTATTTCCTGATATTTGGACATCTTGCCCTGGATTGGATTACAGCAATGCAACTCTACCACTGACTTGCAACATGGATGTTTTATCTCCACAAATAACACAAGCCTGGTGGAGCTTCTGCCGTGTGGTGAAGTTGCTAATGCTAACAGTTAGCTTCCACTAGCCGAGACGTTCTCTGCTGTTTCCTGGATGCTAAACCAAAAACAGCCTTCCCCGTCTTGAGTGAAGATGGGTGAGTCCAAGAGTGCTGAGTGACAGTGTGAGGTATTGGGGCAAACAAAGCGTTTCAATCAAATCAATCAAATCAAAGATACTTTATTAATACCAGAGGTAAATTAGTTTCAGTACACACAATTCAGAGATCAGACATACATGGGCAAGACGCATGACAAGAATTGGTGACTGTGGTCATTCGCAACCCTGAGTCCCGCTACCTTAACAGAGATAAGAGGGTTACATGAGGATTGGTTAAGGTGTAGGGAAAAAAGGCACTTCAGAGCCACCCTCCTACCGGGAGGGCAGCTTTGCTCTGCAAAAACCCCCCACCTCAGACAGATTTGCAACAGACTTCAGACAACACAACATAAGTGTCCGCTAGGTGGGGTGGTGGGTTGGGACTATCCCCACTTCAGTTCCTGCAGCCACGATAAACAGCGCATGTCACCTCAGTGTGGATGGGGGAGGAGCATTGAGGGTTGGAGGGTTGCAGTGACCCTGGGACGTTTCAGCGGCCTTCCCGCAGTCCTGCCCAGGCTGGGAAAGGAGACAGAGTTGAGTTGCCATAGCGACAGCACATTCCACATATCTTCTGAGGGGGGAGTTTTCGTTGGAGCCTTGCAGGCTCAAGGGTGCCAGATTCCGATTAGAAATTGTTTTGAGGCCAGACAGATAATTTCCTCTCTGTCTTACAGTTTGTTGGTCCTCAACCTCTCAAAATCCCAATAATGGACATTAATCTATCCCAATCCGTGCCGACTCGTCCACTCTCTCCTTGATGGCATCCATCTTTTGTGCCAATGAATGAATCTCAGCCAAAGTTCAAAGCTTGCGATTCATCTCGACAATTATGTGAGTCTGAATTCACAGCACGGTGCAATCCATCTCTGAGCTCCGGGATCAGGCCAATATTCGTTTGTTAGTTTGTTATTTGGAATTTGGTTTAGAGTTTAGCAACATACGTGGTAAGAGTGGCCCTTTCTTCTCTTTTCGTTGGACACCTGTTGGCTTTTAGTGATGTATGCTTTTTGGTGAGTACACTGGTGACGTTATCATGTCCTACTAGAACAAGTCGAGCAGTTTGACTCCCCAAAATCTTACCACCTCTCTAGCATCTTCACTGTACGACCTGCAGCAGTCCTTTACGACAACCAAAAATCACTTTGTGGCTCGGGCTTTAGTCCGTTATATCATAAGCAAGGCTAGCATTGTAAGTATTGCACTTCTGCCAGTTTTAGACATTTCCTTGCTTGAAAACTGCAGATTTTACTAAAAAATAAAGGTTCATCTCAGGGTTGGAGAGGATAAATCAGCAGTAGAATCAAATGTGTATGAGCAGGGACATATCAAAAACATGTAGCCGCATTGGCCCTCCTAATGCTACACCAATTCCAGTAGGGGAGGAGGGGATGGAGCTAGCCAAAAAAAAAATCAAACATCTTTCTTGAAGGGGTAGAACTTGACATTGTTGAAGAATTCAAATATCTTGGGTTATCTTTGGACCCAACCTTAACTTTTAAAAATCACATTAAACAACAACAACAACAAAAAAAAACCTGTCAATTTTAATGTACAAATTTTTAAACAAGTTAGACCTTTTTAGTCGCTCTATGCTGCAAAGTTATTTTTACATTCTATGATTTTGTCTCGCATGGAATACTGTACAACCTCCTGGTCATTTGCTGCTGGTGCAACACTCAAACTCATACAATCCCTTTTAAAAAAGCCATAAAAATCCTTGATGAAAAATCATTTAGTTTCCACCACTGCTTTATTTTAGATAAATACAGACCTCTTAATTTTAGTAACTTTGTTACCTTCAAGAATGCTTGCCAAGTTTTTAAGGTTTTACATGGACTTGCCCCTTTCCCCCTGACAGATTTTATTAAATCCCGGTCAATCAGTGGAATGTCGACCAGGGCTACAGATAGAGGAGACTGTGAGGTGCCTTACAGGCACACTGCTTTTGGCAAGACCACACTATCCGTTAAGGGGACTAAATATTGGAATAGTCTACCACTTAGTGTAAGAGACTCACAATCATACAGTTCCTTCAAATTCAAACTTAAACAATGGTTGAAGGAAAACCAAACCTGTATCCATCAGTAATTTGTCCTCACAATTGTGTTTTGTGTTATTTTCCCTCTGTTTTTCCTAGTTTCCTAGTTTTAAATATAATACTTAACTTTCTTTTTCTGCTTTTATTACCTGCCTAGGGACTGCAGATGTAAATTAGCACTGGTGCTACAATCTGGCATATTTACTGATGCAATTTATTGTTGAAGTTCATTAATATGCACTGTCCCTCTTAAATAAATAAAGAAATGAAATGACAATCAAATTTCTATATCACCTCCTCCTCTCCTTGATGACATCATGCCACGGACCCCAGCTCTAACTCTAGAGTACACCCAACCAGTGATTGATCTAAAACAGCCAGTAGTGTCTCCCTCCATCTGTCGGGTATACTGATGAATCCGATTCACAAACCTATTTTTAGCTCCACAACAAAAAGACAATCAAATTTTAAGATAGGAATTTTTTTACTGCTTCGAGAAAAAAAAATCTCCAGCTGAGCTCACAGCAAGGATCATTCCTATCCCTGGAAATCCATCCGAATGTGTTTGTCTAGTCCATGACAAGGAAATAAATTGAAATGTCAACAATTTTTAATACATGCAGCCCGTGTGCCAACATCACGACATGGTGTGTGGATCCTCCAGCCCGTGCCAAGTTCTTCTGGCCGACGAAACAGTGAACTGTGGGGCTTATTTTTTGATGCCTGATGAGATTGCAAGAGTGTTTTCTAAATTGGGAAACCTCCTCTGCGCTTTCAGTCTCAAATGGAAATAATGTTGCATTTACAGTCCACAAAGCCACCCCATAAATCCTATGCATTTATCAGTGTGACAAACACATTGAAACGAGACAAAATATAATTCATCTGAGGTTGCACAGACAACAAAGAGCTGAGTAATAAGTCTCAGGATAAGAATTCAAAGACATTACATAACAGTCTTGTTTACTTTATGTCTTGCCCATTTAAAACAATCAGATTTATGGCACCACTGTTTTCCCACTCCCCCCATTCTGAAATCATGGGGACACATGCATCTGCAGCATTCTCACCTGTCTATTATTGCACACATGTCCAGGCTGACATTCTCAAACGCTCCCACGGTGCCCTTTTCCACCGCGTGCAGATCAGCAGGTTGGTCATCCACTAAGATCGCCTGCATGCAGCCTTGAAATGACCTCTTGGATGGAGGGAACGGCGTCTGCAGGAAGTAACCTGGAATCGACAGAAAAGTGCACAAAAAGCACAATATGACGAAACAACGTTGTGTACAGACATTCTTCATTCCTGCCAGAAAGGTGTTTGAAGGAACATAAACACACGAGTACATGGTTTCTTCTTTGAATGACAAAGTGAAATAGTGGGAAGAACACAGGGGATTATTGTGATCTACATCTTTGAACGTGTCAGGAGCAGGGGACCCGTTGTTGAGGTAAATCCATCATCTGTGAAAAACAACAACAGATAATTTTGGTTGTTTTGTTTACCACCACAAACCTTCATCATTCTTTTAGCTTTAGAGTGTTCACGAGGCCTGTTAGCATTAATGCATACGACTCCAAGAGGACACACACTTCTCACTTTGCTGTATACACCACCTTTATACGATACAGGAGTCAATGGCCCATCCAGAAAGCCCTTTGGACCTTGACTGGATCAGGAACAAGGCTAGCTGTGTGCTTACTGTGTTTTATTTGTATGTGCAACATAAAACAATGTTTGACACTGAAAAGCCTGCAAATATGTGATAGCCGGTGTGAATTCTACATGTGCAAATTAATCATCTGCACTGAACTGAGTGAGAGTACAGGTGGAGACGAGAGCCCAGAATTCATCTTCCACCACAAGCACAAAGGGAAGTCATAAAACACCGGAGCTCAGTGACATCTCCATCATCGTGATGTTATGAACAGTCATAGTCTCCAGCCGACTCATCAGCCTCAAGGCCAGAGCAACGAGGCCTTATTTTAGGGGCCATATGCACTCTCTGTGTGTGTGTGTGTGTGTGTGTGTGTATGCAGACATGATGAATGTGTACGAGGCTGGTTGACACAAAGCTAATAAAACAGTGCAACAGTAAAGTGCTTGCGGTATTCATCCCGTCAATCACATCTTCCAAATTTTCATTTGGTCCCTAAAAAAGTCTCTCCTGTTTGCCTTGCCATCTGTCTCTTCTCCTGCCACACCTGGCTGCTGTCTCTTTTTCCAAAAGAAAGGAAACCAACAGTTAGAGAAAAGGAAGAAAGAGAGAGAGAGAGAGAGAGAGAGAGAGAGAGAGAGAGAGAGAGAGAGAGAGAGAGAGAGAGAGAGAGAGAGAGAGAGAGAGAGAGAGAGAGAGAGAGAGAGAGAGAGAGAGAGAGAGAGAGAGAGAGAGAGAGAGAGAGAGAGAGAGAGAGAGAGAGAGAGAGAGAGAGAGAGAGAGAGAGAGATGGAGGGGGAAGATGTGACCAGTGTAAACTACAGCTGGCTGGCAGCATTTTGCATCCTGCAGAAATCTTATGAATACAAAGAACGTGATCCTGAAAATTTGGCACAACGAGAAGAGCAATGCATGGACCCATGGGTGGATTTACATTGTTACAGGCCATGGCAGTAAACAGGGAGAGGCTTGTTGATCTGCTTGTTTATCCAAGCGAATACCTGAATGTTTCCCCCCTTTTATATTTTTTGCAACATTTCTAACTAAATTTTCACATCAATCCAAACAGACATAAAAAGCAATACAATATATTTCACAACTGAGCATGTTGATTTAGAAACTAATAATCCCATTGTTCAAAAGAGGTATAAACTTTTACAGTATGTGTCATGATTGGTCAAATTACTTTTATATGCCAATGACTGAGAAACATCATTTAGTTCTTTATTAAAGCAGCATTCAGATTTTTCCCTATTTTCAGGAATTTTGTATGATTTTTTTTTAAATCTGTAAAGATGATAATCTGACCATGTACTGTGATATAAAGTAAGCAACAAGTAATTTTTTTTGCTAAGCCCACCCCATCCCATAGAACCCCATGCAACTTTAATTGACCCCCACTCTTTATAAGCAATTAGCGATGTCAATCACAGAGCATGCGTGCACTTTTGTGACTAATGCAGGGTTGGAGACATTTCTTATGGACAAGGCGTTGCTTTCAGTCATAACAGTTTACATAGGGGGAGAGGGTTATGGTGCAATACATCTTTCCACCTTTAGATGGTGCCCTCTGAGAAAACCCAGTTTACTGCTTTAAAGACTGACATACACTTCTGGTTGATCGGTTCAACACAGAAACGCCTCTGGTAAAATGTCATTTCCTAGCCCAGAAACATCAGTAATCCAAATACTTCTAATTCGTTGTTACATGAACCCAAATAATGCTACTACCCCCACCTTATTTGAAAGATAAATACATTTGAATGTTTCACCACTCTTTATATTTACTTTTTATCAGTCATTATTCACCACGATGGATACAAGAGAGAACTACATGCATTTGCATCAGCCTCATACAGTAATTGGTACTTTGAAGCTGCTAAACATTGGGACTGAAGGAAGGATGGTGCAAAGGCTCAGGAGAAGCAGGTTGACCAGAGATCGGACATTGTGAGATCAATCCCATTCTGCTGCTGTGTCCTCAGGTAAGATACATCACCCTACTTGTCGATGTTGGTGGCGGTCAGAGGGGCCTCTGTCAGAATGCCTCAGGGGGCCATCTTCGGCAGTGTGAAAGTGTGTGTGTGAATTACGGAAAGCACTTTGAGTGCCTTGAAAAGTGCTATGAATAAACACCTGCGCATATTTTGGTAAATGCATTAACAGCTAAAATAATTGCTAAAATGGGCATAACATTATTTTGTTGTGGGTTATATGCACAAAGCAGAACTTGCTTCTGCATTCAAATCAACAACAATCCCTCATAGTCCTTCTGGCGCTCTATCACAGCCTCCCTGTTGTGCTCAGAGAGCTTCTCTTACAACACCAAAACATCATTTCCCTTGGCAGAACTCAGACCGCAATGAATTCAGATTAACGCTTTCAAAGGAGGCAAAAAGGAAATGTGTGAAAATACTCTGATTTGAATCACAACAACCCTTTTTAGAATGAATTTCTATAGATATTTTTAGAAGAGACAAAGGACAGTTCCTAAAAACAACAGGATTCTGAAATTTCACACATTTTATTGTCCAACTGCTACAAAATGCTTCGTACTTTTTTGTCGTCGTCATCGTCATCGTCTTCCTCCGCTTATCCGTGTCAGGGTCGCGGGGGCAGCATCCCAACTAGGGAGCTCCAGACCGTCCTCTCCCCGGCCACCTCCACCAGCTCTTCCGGCAGGATCCCAAGGCGTTCCCGGACCCGATTGGAGATGTAACCTCTCCAACGTGTCCTGGGTCAACCCGGGGGCCTCCTGCCGGCAGAACATGCCCGAAACACCTCCCCAGGGAGGCGTCCAGGAGACATCCTGACCAGATGCCCAAACCACCTCAACTGACTCCTTTCGATCCGGAGGAGCAGTGGTTCTACTCCGAGTCCCTCCCGACTGTCCGAGCTCCTCAACCTATCACTAAAGCTTGGTTTATGCTTGACGCATTCACTTTTCGCTTGGTGATGCGGCTTGCGGCTGGAACACGCTTCACAACTCGCAGCGTTTATGGATCATGCGGCTTGTCTCTGCAGTGAGCCAATACTCTCCCAAACTGAACGGGGCAGCATGGAGCTCTACGGCATGCATCCATCACTACACCATAGTAGAAGTAGAAATTACTGTTTACAACATGGCATTCCAGCATTTTTAACAGTGTCCTCTTCTTTTCCGACAGTGCGAGCTATTTCTCTCCAAGAATTATTAACTACATATTGATCACGGTGATCTTTGAGAGCTGAATCATACAAATGTCTGTATTTACGAACCTCTGCCATACTAGTTCTTGCTGGTCTACCATGTTTTTCTGCGTCCGACCGTCCGTGTGGTTAGAAAATTTCCGAGGTGCGCTTTGCGGAAATTTTGGGCCATGCAGAGGTGCGGTGGAGGGGCGTGGTTGTTAAAATGACGCAAAATGACACCACTTTTCCGCGCGGAGCCGTGCGGACCTCGCGGACGCGTCAAGCATAAACCAACCTTAAGGCTGAGCCCAGCCACCCTACGGAGGAAACTCATTTCGGTCGTTTGTATCCGCGATCTTGTTCTTTCGGTCATTACCCAAAGCTCATGACCATTGTTGAGGATTGGGACGTAGATCGACCGGTAAATCGAGAGCCTGGCTTTCTGGCTCAGCTCCCTCTTCACCAAGACAGATTGGCACAGCGTCCGCATCACTGCAGACGGCGAATCAATCTGCCTATCGGCCTCCCGATCCCTCCTACCCTCACTCGTGAACAAGACCCCAAGATACTTAAACTTCTCCACTTGAGGTAGGACCTCTCCCCCGACCCGGAGTTGGCAAGCCACCCTTTTCCGGTCAAGAACCATGGTCTCAGATTTGGAGGTGCTGATCCTCATCCCAGCCGCTTCACACTCGGCCGCAAACCTACCCAGAAAGAGCTGAAGGTCAGAGCTGGATGAAGCTAGGAGGACCACATCATCCGCAAAAAGCAGAGACGAGATTCTCCTGCCACCAAACTCAACACACTACACACCACGGCTGCGCCTAGAAATTCTGTCCATAAAGGTAATGAAATGAACCGGTGACAAAGTGCAGCCCTGGTGGAGTCCAACTGTCAGGTATATGCACCTATGACACCATATAACACAACACAACACAACACAGGAAAGAGACACAAAGGTCAGAATTCTGTTTAAGCTCGAGGAGAATGGAATAAAGTCACACCAACCCAGCCTCCACTGGACTGATGCTTCCCTAAACCATTCTGCCTTCTGAAATCCGAGCACCCATATTTATTACAATCGGGAGTTCCCTAGTTACATGCCTGAGAGCTGATTCTGAAGGGAGGGGGGAAAGCACAGCTCTCAGTCCTGCAAAGTTTAAAACAAAGAGCATTCATAATTACACAAAGAACTTTCAGTGTCTTATCACACAATGAGTCAGCAATTGATAGGACAGCGGATCTTCTCAGGTCGTCCTTGGGCCACATTAAGCCAGGTTTTAACACTCTTAAAACTCATGAGGGAATTTTACAATACAGCAACACAAATGATAAAATCATTGAGCATTAAATATGGGAAATCAAACAATCTTTAATTGTAATAAAGGCATAAATGAAACAATCT